GAGTCCAGTAGCCTATAATAGCATTGGGTCTTATATTTAACTGGCAATGTCAGAAATTATTGACCTGAGTCCCCCACAGCTCAACTTAACAGCATGGAACTACACAAATTTTATACACTCAAATACAAAATAAATACTGACTTTTTTTACTAGTACCATATAACTTACTTCACCAAATCCTTTTTCTTTCCTAAATCACTGAAATGTCTTAATAACCACACACACACACACACACACACACACACACACATATTATGAATTTAGGATAGAGTCTACAGGATCTCACTACACAGATGGAACTCCTAGTGATTCTCCTGTTTACATCCTCCCAAGCACTGGGATTATAGGCATGCGCCACCACGCCCAGTCTCAACTGCTGTCTCAGTGTGCCCCAGGGGCAAGGCCAGCATGGCACATCGGGGATCGAATGCTGGCCATTGTGCTCTGCTGAAGCAGCCACTTATATTTTGTCCAAATATAAGCAAAATATTAGGTACACATTTTCACTTTTTCTTTTTGTAGCACCAGGGATCAAACTTACATTTTACATGACATTTTTGCAATGGTGGGGACAAAATCCAGGGCTTTACACCACGCTACACAGGTGGCTTTACCATCAAGTTACATCCTCCATCTCCTGTAACAAGTTTGTAAATTCCAAGAACTTTTAGGGGAAAAATGCTTCTTTTCCCTCTTTGAGACAAGATCTTGCTAAAAGCCCAGGCTGGCCTTGAACTCACAGTAATCCTCCGGACCCAGTCTCCTGAGTGCTGGGATTACAGGTAAGTACCACCATGCCTGGCAATAGTTTTGTTCAACTTTTATTATGGGAATTTTAAAACACACCAAAAAGTAGAGGTGTAATGATATCTATACCTCAATCCCTTAACAATGCCCAACTTTATTTAGTGACTGTCCTTGAAACTTTAGCTTGTTTAGTAGAGTAATTAAAAATATATCTAAGGGGCTGAGGAAATAGGTCAGGGGCTTAAGGGCCTGCCTGACAAGCACAAGGTCCTGAGTTTGATCCCTGGTACAAAAAAAAATTTTTTTTTATCTGTATCTATATATATGATCTGTCTGCCTGTCTATCTTCATTCAACTGGGAAAACTTTAGCATGCACTCTTAACATATTTCTCTCACTATGATCCAGATACATTTTTACTTGTTTGATCTAAAGTTAAACCAGGTCTTCTACACATTGTATTTGGATTTTATAGCTTTAAGTACCCTTTTTTTGGTGGTGGTGGCAGTACTGAGCACTGAATCTAGGATCTTTTTTTGAGATTATTTTATTTTTCACATTGAACTAAGATCCTATTCCTTTGTGAGGTAGGGTCTATGGCTAAATTACTAAATTGTTCAGGCTTGCTGGGCTCAAACTTGTGTTCTTCCTGCTTTCCACAGTAGTACAAGCATAGGCATGCGCCACCATACCCACATACAACCACCATTTGAATTCTGTAATGATTGCTTCATCTTTTTTTGCATGGAACTGATTTTGCTGGATGTGAATAAGTCATTTAACTGGATCTGGCTGGTTGCTTCCTCATCAAGTCACTTGAAAAGTCTTTTAGACCCTCCCTATAAACTGCTAGCTAGCTCTAGGGGTTGGATTTATCCTAGGCTCTGCTTTCTTCACTGGTACTACAATGTCCTACTCTCCTTTGCATCACAGCAAGAGGTCTCATTTTCAGATCAATAGTTCAGTTCAATTTCTGAATTATAATATTTCCCATGAAGCTTTTGTCTACTTGTTTTCACAATGAAAGAATGCGGTCTAAATTTATGAAACTTCTAAACTGATACTATATTGTTTTAAAATCTATCATTTCTTTTGTACTCATTAGCTGGAATTTTTATAAAGAATTTTCTCTCAATTGCTATTTGGCTGCCAAAATTCAGTTGATATAGGAATAGAATACTCTATTTTCTCCTTTATAAATTTTCAGAGTAAGAGAGTGATGCCCTACCATGTTTTTGTTGCCAATATTTTTCAATTTTTTTAAAATTTTGTTTTGAGATAGGGTCTTACCATGTAGTTCAGGCTGGCCTTAGAGCTCACCAAGTCGCCTAGCTGACCTCGATCTTACAGTGATTCTCCTGCCTCAGCCTGAGTGCCACTAAGACTGGCTGTAATACTTTTTACCTTTTCACAGATGAAAAAATAGCAGCCCAAATTTAAACATGACAACAGTTCTGGATGAATAGACAGACCTTAATGACACATCTGACAGAGATGCAATTCTTTCCTTCTTTTCCTTATTGGATACATGGTTTCACTATGCAGCTCAGACTCCTAGAGATCCTCCTGTCTCATCCACCCCATGTCCAGTTTCAGGGCCAGCATGGTGTGCCCAGGGCTCCGGGACTAGCATGGCATGTAGTACCAGGGATCAAACTTGGGTCCCTGTGCTTGCCAGGCACGTGCTCAAGCCACTGATCCATCTCCCCAGCCTGACAATTCTTATTGGTATTTTCTTTGATTAGCACTTGCTTCCTCTTTATAGTAGCAGAGGAAAAAGTAAAACTCCTGTTTGTGGGCATCTCACATACCACTGAGCTGAACGAGAAGGTTAACTGGCCAGTCTCAAGGGCAAGAGAGGTCCCTTGAAGCTAAGGCAACCTGTGTAAGTGGTTCTCCATAAAAAGATGGGGCAGAACTATTTTAGAATCCTAGAATACGGAAAATCAATTATCTACTTGTAGCTATAGTAAAAAGTGTTTTCTTTTGTTTGAAAGGGGGTAAGAACTGTTTCATAATAGTTATGACTAAGCCTAATTCTGATGTGGTCATAACAGCTAGAATCGAACTTTTAACAGTCCCTTGAGGGATTACATGCATAAAGAGATGCTTAACTTTGAAAACGCATAAAGGAATCCTAGTTTTCACAGTGTCAATACATGAATAAAATTATGAGTAGAAAAGAGCTTTTGCTTAATGCCTCACACCATATTTTGCCTGTTGAGGATTAAAAGCAAAACCACTAACCTGGGTCCATTTATGGTTATCACTTGTTATTGAATGAACATCACAGATTAAAGTCTGGAAAAATAAAAATTTAAAAACTAATGTATAATTCACACAAGCATATAATCTTTTAATAAAACCCCAAATAAATAAAAACTTCCCAATTAAACATTTTTACCTGCATGGTTGGACGTAAGAGAATGTGCCTACTTTGGTAACCTGGTGATTTCATATTACTAGACTGCCTGTAGTCACGTATTTCAGCTATGACACATCCACAATGGAAAATATTAACCTGTTTTAAATAAAAACATTCAGTAAGTGTCATCTTTCAAATTCCTTTACACTCTGATGTAGTATGTTGGCCATTTACCTAAGTTTCAATGGGTTTTCTTGGCAGATATACCACCATACCACCCTTTTAAAAGGAGTTACTTTATGTTCATCATGAATGAAGCCAGTTTCTAGTTACAGATGACTTTGGTACCTACAAAGACAACAGACTGACTTCTGGCAATTACATATTAGTGCAGTCACAGATCCTCGGCATCACTGTTTTATGAAACTCAATGGCTCAGTTACAGGCTGCTACCTTTGTCACTGTTAAATTGCCAAAAGGTCTTGCCAGTTTCAATTTCTAGGTAAAATTTCTGTATTTGCTGTACTAAAACTTGAAGAAAATCTTAACCCTTATTAATAAGGAAAGAAAAGCTAACTATAAAGTTACTGCTTTCTATACCCAAATATAAGCACCATTACAAGTTTTGCTAATTATGACTTGTAATCATCACATTCACACTGTGATGTTTCTCATCTATTCAAACTTTTAGAATGTGGCCTCTGCTATCTATCAGTCACATTCACCTTCCCTCTTTTTACCAAGCACCTGCTTTCTGCGTAAGGCACACTAACCCGCTGCACTACTGGAGCTCAGCCTTACTTTCCCTTTGCCTCCCCTTCATGCCTGATTGTCTTTCTTGTACATTCATGTTATCTCTCTCTCTCTCTCCTTCTCCAGGTTCCTCATATGGGAAAAAACATGTAGTGACTTTTTTCTAGCTTATTTCACATAGCATGATATTCTGTTCATGGTACAGTTTCTTTATCCATTTATTTGCTTAGAGGTATCTATCTAGGCTGTTGATAGCTCTGAGCCATGAAGCCTGGATTATAGATTAGCTATAGTGAACTGAGCTGCAGTAAACATTATACTATAATCCTAGAGCAGTGAAGGCGAACCTGTTAGAGCTTCCAATTGACAGCATCTGCTGTGCCACACTACACATGCCTTTGGTTTGCTACCCCCTGCCCTAGAATTTATCATCTTTGATTAGGGAATACAGCAATGAGTGTTACAGATGGATCAAATGGTATCTCTAACTTTAGTTTTTCGAAGAATCTCTCTATTGATAGCCACAGTGGCTATTACTAGTTTACCTTCCCACCAAGTGTTCAAGGGTTCCTTTTTCCCTAAATTCTCACCATAACCTTTTTTTCTATATTCTTTTTTTCTTTAATTAATTTATTTACAAAATCTCAAAATCTATATTCTTTATAGCCATCTTGACTTAGATGAGACAGTATCCCAGTGGAGTTCTGATTTACCTTTACTTAATGAGTGAACATGATAAAAATTTGAAAGGAGAGGCAGACATAGTTATGGTAAGACCATATCTCTAAATATATGAATAAATAAGTAAGTTGGGGGTGTAAAACAAAAGTTCTGCTTTTACAATGTTAAGTTTAAGAAACCTATCACTGTAGAGATACAAGTAAATAAGCAGGATTAGAGCTCAGTGCAATAGTCATGGGAAGAAACACAAGCAAAAGGTTAAGAAGCTAGATAAGCAACTAGATGAAACTAGGTAGAAGACCACTCGGGGGCAATTTACTAAAACAGAGGGCCTAGGCCTGAACTCTGAAAGATGCACATTTTTACGGAAATAGAGATGACAACGTAGACAACTAAAGGAATAAAGAAGAGGAAAATGGGACATCTTGTAAGTCAAAAGAAGGATATTTCAAGGAAAACTAATTGTTTTAAATTTTGCTAAGAATCAATCAGTTGATCGCATGCCACCGAGTCACTAGCAACTTTGACAAAGGTGATGCTGCGATGCCAGATGAGGCAGCAGAAAGAAGAGCAGGATCTGCTATAAAGGAGACCACTACACACAGTTTGGGCAGTTTTGTTGTCAAGAGGGCCAGAATTACAAAGCAATAGTTGGAGAAGAAAAGCAGTATGTTGGCCAAAAGGGAATTTTTTTTAACATATAGCATGTTACATGCTATATGTAGTAGAAATGAAAATAACAGAAAGGGGGAAGATTATGATTTAAGTCCTGGAGAAGAGAACCAGAAAACAAAAGGGAAGGACAACTTAGGAAAAGCACTCATACATTTTAATAGAAATCAGAGAATTTGTTGGGCAGGGAGATAGCTTGGTAAAGTGCTTGTCTGGCAAGTACAAGGGCCTGAGTTCAATCCCCGGTTCTGAGGAAAAAAGAAAAAAAAAAAAGAGAATTTGTGGAGAAAGGTATAGAAGCTGGTCAACCAGTGACAGGAGGAATGGGGGTGCCCATCCAATGACTTTTTTTCTCAAAAAAAGCACTCAAGGTGGCTGAGGTTAATTCAAAGAAAGAACATGGCAAGAGAATGACAGCTGAAAGTGACTATAAGAAAAAGCACAGGCCAGAGGGCTGCTTTTTGTCTCCCACTTTTTTTTTAAAGCTTCATAATTAATTTGTCGATCATAACTATATAGAGATTTCAACTGATGATCTAATTGTTACAGTAATTGTAGAAATAAATGACTAAATCTATATATTTCAGTATGGCACGAAGATTAAATACCTTATAATAAATCACTTTCTTCTGTCTCATGTCACTCTCTAAACATGGTTGAGAATACATATTAAAAGTGTTACATATCTAATGGTGTTTGTAAGTAGGATCACAAGTCTGCATCTTGTACAGCAATTAACCACTAAGAAGAATATATGCAGTGTATTATTTGTTGAAACTGTACTTTCGATTTGATTTGAAACTCTCATTGCTATATGCTTATCAATAAAACTTTGAAAAGGAAACAAAAAAAAGTGTTACATACATAAAAATATATGCATGTATCATACATATAACAAATACATGGATATTTTAAAAATCTGTTTGATATTTCAGTAAGGTCTCATTACATAGTTCAGGCTTGTCCTAAACTCATTATGTAGTCCAGCCTGGCCTCCAACTCAGAGCAAACCTCTTCCTGCCTCAGCCTCCCAAATGCTTGGATTACAGGCATGTACCATCAAGCCTAGCTAAAACTTTATTTTTAAAAGATAAGTTAATCTTGAACATTTGGGCTCCACAGATTGCTTGCCTCAGCCTTCTGGGTAGCTGGTACCAGATGCATGAGCCACTATGCCCAGCAGAAAATTTTCTGAAGAAAATGTTATACCTGAGATTTTTCTAGGAGATCAACCAAAATAGGAGGCAATTCTTCTGCATCTAAGTACTCAAGCAATTCCCCTTCTTCATAAGGCAGTCGAATGGTTTCAGAATCTTAATGTTAAAACATAAAATAAAGTTTATTAGGCCCAAAAAAAGCTTACGTGCAGAATTTATGTGACATTAAAAAAACAACAGAGCCAAAACGCTCTCCTAAAATCCTTTTCTAAGCTTTATAAACAGATGATATTATGTTTACTAAAAGACCTATCAAATGTGTAACATTTCTGGCTAAAGAGAGAAAGCAACTGAATGTAGAAAACAACAATAATTTCCCAGGTCATCCACAAAGTGGTTATTTTTAAGACAAAATTCTCTTGATGATACATTTTACAATTAAATAATACTCAACGCAAGTAAAAATTCTTATCTGAATGAGTTCCTTATAGAACTTGTATTAATCACTATGCAAATTTCAATACCTCATGAAATCTAGAAATATTTATATTTTACGACTCTTCATTACATTAACAGAATTTTTTTGTTTTTGAGACAGGGTCTCATTATGTAGTCCAGGCTAGTATTGAGCTCACTATGTAGCCCAGGCTGATCTCAAACTTACAGTGATCCTTCTGCCTCAGCCTCCCAAGTGGTGGGATTACAGGCGTGAATTACCATGCCAAGCCCCTAACAGAAATATTTGAATACATGAACATTACTCAAAGGCGGTGAATGTGCTCATGTTTACAGATTCAGACTCCTTTTCACAGTGTAGTACAATTTAAAACATTTTACGTTGTCTTAAAACATAAACAACAACAGAATAAAAGGAAATTTTCACAACTGTTTAAAATTATATTTATATAAGTTGACTTCAAAGACAAAACAATCAGAACACTTTTCAAATGTATGCTCAGGAAGAACAACCACATACATTCGAGTAATTGCTCATGTTCTAGCAAAAATAGTAAGAGAAAACCCTGCTTTTATCACTAACTCGTCACTGATCTGAAGGATAAACCATCAACAGGGTAAAAACAAAAACAGCACATTCTGGGGCTGAGAAAATAGCTCAGCACCATAAGTGCCTGCCTAGCTAGCATAAGGTCTTTTGATTCCTGGTACCAAAAAAAAAAAAAAAAAAAGCAGTATATTCTTCACTGGCAGAAATATTTTGTGGCCTCTATACACTGGAGATTCTTACCTGATCCATTTTTTCCCCTGAGCATCAGAGAATATCCCTCATTTCCTGGGTATAGATTGACCACTAAACATGACAAAGTCTCCTGCATAACAAGCTTCTCTAACAAGTTCACGTTTCTTCTTAATTTCTGCTTTAAAAAGAGGAAGAACTCATGAAAATAACCCAGTATAACACTGAAAAGTAGTGCTATAACTTCACAAAATCAGATCTGAACAATGTTTTGGTGGTTCTTCTGTTATGATCGTGAATACAGGGAAAGATTCATAATACTATAGCCATTTATGATACTATAGCCACTACAGATAATAATGTAATGCATCTACTACATTTTGTGAAAATTCATAGTAAAAAGAAAACTAATAATCTTCAAAATACTTAAATATAATATGTACTTTTAATATGTAAGCAATAGATACTTAAAAAGTCATTCAAAATAAATGTATAAAATATACTTTTATATATGAGTCCAAATGAAGAATTTTGGGCACTCCCTTTACTTGGATGGCAAAAAGCACACATTTGTTCAATACTTTCCCACCTAAATTAGAGCCAAACAACTTCTACATTCCCATACAAAAAGTATTTAATTGGTAGAATGCAAGCTATTTATGCAATTTCCTTTTTTTTTGGGAGACAAGTCTTATTAAATTGCCCACCTGGGACTCACACTTGGTCCTACTGCCTCTTAGGCTCTCAGAGGGCTGGGATTGTAAGAGTGCTTTGTGCTTTGTTGGGTGTCATGCTGCAAGCATACAATCCCAGCATCCAGGAGGCTGAAGTAGGACTGCTGAGCTCAAGGCCAGCTTGAGCTATATATAAATTCAAAGCCAGCCTGAACTATATAGTGAAACTGTCTCAAAAACAAAACAAAACAAAAAAAACCAAGAGCAAAGATTATATTATATTTGTTGTCAAAGATTTTAAAGGTTATACACTACTAGAATTTTGTTATTTCTGCCTAAGCGACAGAATGGTACTCATTTTTAAATTAAAGACAGACTAAAGGAGCTCACAAAACTCTTTAAGGCCCTTTCAACCCAGGGGTTCAAAAGATATCTAGAAATCAATTTCTATTATATTTCTACTGCAGATACCTTTGTGCTAAATAAAATTAATTAAGTCAAACTGGCATGGGTTTATGATCACATTTACCTTAAATTACTACACTTGAATTCCCTATATCCCATAATAGCTCTGACTTTCCAGTATAAATCACCCTAAGGAAATAGATTACTTTTATCCTTTGTCTACATTATCTCTTCTCAAGGGGAAGCAACAGCCAAAGGTACTAATGTGGCTTTGGGATATTCTGTTCTTTCACACACATACTGCTGCCTAATCCTACCTGAGCAAGTGACTGCCTGGTGCCCAGGGTGAGCCTAACTGACCAGTATCTGGCTGGGAAACATATTAGTTTACCTACAAAAATATAAAAAATTGCTTCAAATTTAACTTCTAAAAATTCCCTCCTCCACTGCATTTCACAAAGCAGAATATTATAAGAATTTACACTTACCTTAACCTCAGGTTCTTTTTCACATTCCTCAATATATAAGTCATAAAGTTTTTGAAATACAGATTTTCTAGAATAAAGACAATATTTTAATAAAATAATCACCATGAAATAAATGCTATTTTAATGATTTCTACACTTGCCCAAAACTTGGGGTGGGGGTGGGGATGGTAATGGTTACAGGGTTTAAAATCAACCAAAAATTCTTAATATATATTTGAGTATCCCTATTTAAACTATTTAAGACCAGAAGTTGTTTTATTTTTATTTATTTATTTATTTTTTATGTATTTAGTCCAGGGACTACAGGTCTCACTACACAGGTCAGACTCATAGTGATCCTCCTGTTTTCAGCCTCCCAAGAACTGGGATTACGGGCAAGTGCCACAGTGTCATCACCTCAGCACACCCCGGGGGCATGCCAAGGATAAACCTGGTTCCTGCGTCTGCCTAAGCATGTGCTTTAATTCACTGAGCTATCTGGCCAGCCCCCAGAAGTTGTTTTAGATTTCTTTAGAATTTGGAATATATACATATACACAACAATTATCTTGAGGGTAGGACCCTATGTGAGACATGAAAGTGACTTGTTTCATATGCACTTATACAAACAGGCATAAGAAAATTTTTTTTTTTTGGGCGGAACCAGGGATTGAACTCAGGCCCTTGAGCTTGCCAGGGAAGTGCTTATTCCACTAAGCCATCTCCTCAGCATAAGAAATTTTATACAACATTTTTAGCATGCTTATATTTTAACTATAAACTACTACATGAGGCCAGATGTAAAATTTCCCATTGACACTATGTTAGAGCTTTAGAAGTTTCAGATTTTGAAGTAATTTGAATTTCCAGATTACTGAGGGCTTTGTGCTTGCTTCTACTGAGCTATTTCCCCAGCCTGGGGATACTCAATCTGTCTATGCAAAAACCTAAAACATTTCTAGCCCAGTACCTAGGAAAACAGTATTTATTGTTCAGTTAACATTTGTTAACTATTACATTTCAGTAATTGTAAGATATTATCAATGAAGTATTCATACCTTCCACTTGACAGGTATTTCCTTTTAGGAGGTCTCTGTCGGGCACTTTCAATGACATACTAACAAAAGAAAGTTTATGACAACAGTTTACCTTTTGCTTAGAACATAAACAACTAAATCATATAATAATTATATATAATACTGTATACCTAAAACATCTGAGGGTAAAAAGGCTATACACTCACAAAAGTCTTTACTTGTGTTAACTCATACCATGTAGGAAAAAAATTCCAATTACATTATAAATGAGTAAAATTTAAAATTTAAACTGCAAAACCATAATTTCAAAGGTCAGGACATTCTTAATGTTTTATGGCTCTTAACATACTTGACGCATTCGAAATCGTCCACCTAATCGCAAGTCGTTTTATTTTAGTTATTTTACAAAACATGTCAAAATAGAAAAACATAATTTTAAAATTCTATGCCCTTGTTGATTTTTATTTCAAAGCATAATAAAAATTTTTATTTGAAATAACAATGAACCAACTATCACCTGGTATTTCTACATATATACAAATTATTTCTAGTCTTGTCCTAAAATAATAATACATTCCTTTGAAAATACAAATATCTCTTAAAATTAAACTTTTGTCAATTATAGATGACACTAATTTCAATATGTAATTTAGTAAGGCCTTACCTCAGCACGGTCCAAAGCTAATTCTAAAGCCTGTTGCTGTAAAGAGTAAACAGTATATTTGGCAATTATTAGTCATTTTCAGACAAAGCAAAACAGTAAAACTTAACATTTCTAATTAAGTGCTTCAACATTTCATTTTCTACAGAAGATCCAATATAGTCTTCTTTATTTCCCTCTGCAACCCAATGTATGATCAAGGTATATGACCAAAAAAAAAAAAAAAAAAAGCATGGTAGTGTTGGGAACTTTATTATGACAACAAGCAGATAAGAAATACTAAAGGGTAACTGGTCAGCATTTCTAAGGCTGATTTACGGAGCTGGAGATATGGTAGTTAGTACTACTTCACCAATTTTAGTTTTTCAAAATTGTAAAACTACCATTTAAAATACTGGCCATAACTCTTGTAGTCAAAGTGAAACAAAGACTTACTTGTCCTACTCTGCTAAGAGTCCTAAAAACATAGAGTAGGGTTGTGTTGGTATGTAATATCACTTACAAATTCCTAATAAATTAATGCAAAAACCCATGATATAACATCTGTAGCTCTGTGACTAATAAAAATGCTGTAAGTGATAGCTATCACTGCCACATCTAAATGAATTCAAGATGACATTAATTATAAGCATTCATCATCATTTTAGGTAACATTAAGGCAAATAAACTGCCAATTATAGTTCAAAAAAGTTACTGATTATAGACTCATTATCAATTCAGTAATATTAAAATATAAAAAATGTATCTTAGATTTACTCAAATGCAGTATATTATTACACACAAGGCCTGAAATTTAATGGTGGGTCCCCACCCTTCACACACTTCTTGCAGAACCTAATTTTCAGGTAAGAAGGAGAAATAAGGTAAGCTATGTTTCCCTTATCTATGAAGCCTTTTTTTTCTGAAGACACAAATAAAAACCACTAGACTCTAAGTTAAATTAGTGTACCACTAGGGATTTCTCTTTCTGTTTGTCTTAGATGCCGTACAGCAGAATAAAACTGTATTCTTCATTCACAATAATAGTTGTTTCAAATTTCTTTCAGAGGTGCAGAACTTTAGTTTTCATTTATATTATCTTGCAGATTCCAACAATAAGCTACCACATTTGTACATGATCTAAAAACTCCTAACAGTAATCAACACCCAGCAGGATGGAGGAAGAACAAACAATACCACCTTTCAGAATTCATAGGAAATTTTAATGGACTCTGCACACTAATGCTAAGGATGGGAAACTCCTATATTTATAAAAATAACTGGTCTTTTTAAAGACAGCAATCAAAACCAAACCATATTATCTGCCATCTAAATGTATTAAAAGATGAAAGTCAGAAATCTACCAACATCCGAAAAGGTCCAGTTAAAATAAACATATCAACTTATTTTATTGCAAAAGCTTTTAAAGAAGAACAATTTATTTTCCAGCAAGAAAATGTAACTCTGAATATACACTCTAAAAATATATTAGGGTCTTTTAAATTTTGCTTATGAAACTAATTTTACCTCAAATATTACAATAAATAATCAAATATATACAATTTTAAATAGCTAGTCATCTCAGGTACTTCTTCCTCTGCAATCTAAACTTGAAGGGCCAGCAGTATAGCTCAGCAGACTAAGCGCTTACTTAGGTAAGCACAGGGGCCAGGGTTCCATCCGTGCTACGTGGCTACGCATGCTGCACCGGCCCTGCCCTTGGGTGTGCTGAGCAGGCAATGACGGGAGTCAGGGCATGCTGGCGCACACCTGTTATCCCAGCACTAGGGAGGCAGAAATCAGGAGGATCACTACGAGTCTGTAGAGTGAGACCCTGCACCAAAAAACCCCCTAAAAACCAAAAACCTAAACTTGAAAAGGTATAGTGAGATACACTTGCGTCCACTATTGCTTTCAAACTCTTAAGGGGTATACTGTTAAGTAAAACAGGTACAACAATAGCATGAAATGAGAATCCCATTGTGATAGTTTCACTTCTTTCTAATAGGGCAAAGCAGACCAGAAGAGCACAAAGAAGAGAAACATTTCCTGAGGCTTGTGCCACAGAAGAGGGGTTTATAAATCAATAGTGTTCATTCATTATTTCAGTCAACTATTATTTTTATAAAACATTAGAAAGTAGTTTTTCTCACTTTAGTCTTTAATGTTTTAAAGGTGAAAGTTAAGTGTTTATTCATAAAAAACATACGTCAGTGAATAAAAACACATTAACAATGCTCAAAATGTTAGGTGCAGCCCGGCATGGTGGTGTGCTTAGAAGGCAGGGGCAGGAGGGCTTCCATGAATTTGAGCCCAGCCTGGCCTATATAGTGAGTTCAAGGCCAGCCTGAAATAAATGGTGAGGGACCATGCTGCAATCAAAGAAAAAGTTAAGTGCAGAAAGCAAATGCAAGTTACACTTATTTTGAAACTATATCACCCCTCCACAAATTATTTGTACTTCCATCATCCTTGCAATTTGGAATACGACAAGGTGGTTAGAAATAAAATTTTAATACAAGGAGCATTCTTGTAACTTGGATGTGGTAATCACAACACCGAACTAAGAGATGAGTTATGCATCTTACAGACAAAATTTTCCACATGACAGCTGCATAATTTCTATAACTTGTGCAGCTTACAACAGCGTTTTTGCATCTATAACACTAGCATTTCTATGGAGATGAACAAAATGTGCTAAAACATCATAAACCTGAACTTACTGAACAATAGCTTACCATTGTGACATAAAATTGGGAGCCAAAAGAAAATGTATGTGCGCTGATGAAGTCAGATGAAAGCTGTCCTTCATAGCGATCTTACATACTGTAAAAATATAAGTAACAAAATTACCATCTTAACATAAGGCTCTAAAGAAAAAAATGATTGTAATTAAGGGAAAATTACTTGAGGCATGCATATTTCAGAAATATTAACAATATAATTTGCAACAATAAAATTCATGTACTGCAACCTAACTACTCACTGCTGAAAAGTAGTTTTAATTCAGTAGAGCAAAGGGCTTCTCACTTTTTTCCCAATGCCCCAGAGAAAAGAAAAAGTCATTTTTTAATCTCTCCACGCTCCTGTACTATTACCTTCCCAGTGGATTACTCTAACAGCCTGCAAACCAACCCTCATCACTACTACCCAGTTCACTTTACAAATCAGACTTCATCATGCCTGCTGGCCAATTCCACAAAGATTCTCTCCCAAATGCCCTGAACCAGGCCAGCAAGATAGCTCAGCAGACTAGGCACCTGCTTTGGCAAGCGCAGGGGCCAGGGTTCAATCCCCAGGTGAAGACCTCCTTACCCTAAGGGGTTTCCACTCCAGCAGAACACCAATTACCACCAGAGACTTTAAACCAATGGGATGCCCATGCTGTATCCCTCAAGAATAGTGAATAGGTGATGGAGTTGGGTGCAGATATCAGCCCTTTCTGGCACACTCAAGGTGATTAGAGGCAATGCTAGTGTAGAAACTTAACCTTTCTGCACACCACACAGATGGTACAGTACGCTTGGTCTGAAGAGGATAAACAAAGATCATTTTTAGTCTAATTCTTTACTGAAATCCTTGTAACCACAGCTGCATGTCTACGTACCTGAGCTACAGCACAACTTCTGACAGGAAAAAAAAAAAAATTCCCATGTAAAAAGGTTTTGATTTTTTTGCGAACCCCAAAGTTTAGTTTTTGACAGTTGGGGTTTAAAAAAAAATCAGAAGAAATTTTAGTAACAAAAACCAATCTCCATGGACTAATACAACGCTGGCACTGCCTAGTTTCTAGGAATAATCATTTCACAAAAGGAATGACATTAATCCTACCTTCTAATTGCTTGTAGGTATAAGCTGAATTTAGGGTAAGTTGAAATTTTTCGGGAAAATCTAAACATAAAGATATACTTACATGCAAAATGTGATGACTTTGAAATTAAGATCGCATGAAATTAGAAAGGGAAGTTCTAACTTCAAATTATTTATGTACTGTACTGCACACAAAATCCAATAAGTAATTTTGTGTACCTCTTTCAAAGCAGACACTTTGCATACAAATTTATCAGGACCCTCGAGAAGAACACCCTATCGTCGTCTCCCTGGCAGTCAGAACCAGTGACCATGATCAATACACCTGGACCAGAACTTATCCTGCTCTCAGATGTTAATCTTAGATTCCTGCACACCTTACAACCTTCAAGCCAGCACCCAGTCCTAGACTATATTTTAAACAAGGCATTTAAAATAAAACCCCGATTTTACTCAGAAATGTAAACTTTTAATCCCATTTTCTGCCACAGCGACCCATCACGGCAAGCTGCACGCAACCCGAGCTGCACGGCTCGGGTCTCGAGTCCTTCCAGGGACTCAGGCTCGCACGGAGCAGAGGCAGCCCCCACCGGCCGGAGACGGCCGGGACAGGCGGCGCCTGCAAAAGGCCGTCAAACGCCACAGGGGATACACCGACACCTAGAAACACGCCCTCGGAGTTTTCACGCAAGTCTTGCGAGTTTCCGTTAATACCTGCACCCGGTACTCTAAGGGCCCTAGAATTAAGAGCGCCGCTTAGCATCACCCAGCCGGGTAACAGAGGGGCCGCTCGCAGGGTGGCCTGCAGGACCCCAGCCTAGAGCGCTGGGTCTCGCGGGACGGCGTCCTCTCGCGAGAACCGGAAAAGCGCTCCGGAAACACCTCTCTCACCTCTGACCTAAACTCGCTGGGCCTCGCGGGCTTAGTTCACCCGCCCGCCGCAATTCTGTCCCACGGTGGGTTGCCGCCGCGCTGGGCTTACGGAGTGTGATACTGAGGAGGCCGTAAGGCCCACCCTGCGCCTCAACGACGTGGGCGATCCGCCTCCCCGGCGAACTAAATTGGCAGTCCGCCACACCGAGGACTGGCGAAGCGGAGTCGGTGACGTAGCGGAAGGGGTGGAGCCTGGACGGGGCGAGGGGCCGGAAGTGGGCGGGGCTGCGGAGGAATGGTTCCCGGAGGTCTCTCGGGTGTCAGTTCCCGGGTGAGGCTAGCGTGAGGCTAGAGGCGGTGTGAGTTTTTAGCCCTGACCACTCGGCTGCAAAAGAGGCAGGTCAATGTAGTGCTGGTTCCTAAGATTGAGTTTCTCGGGCCGTCGCACTAAGGTACATCCACAGCGCCGCCCCACCCTTTAAATTTTGAGACGGAGTCTTTCTAGTTTTTTTTTTTTTTTAAACGTAAAGGGTCTCGCTACGTAGATCAAACACGTAGTGAGCCTCCAGTTTTCGGGGTCCCAGCGCTTGGGGGACGGCCGGCCCCGCACGCCAGGGATCGAACCTGATCCCTGCGTCTGCCTAAGCAGGAGCCTTAGTCCGCTGAGCTAGCTGGCCGGCCCTGAGCTACGCCTTTGATCCTCCTCCTAGAGCCTCCTCCACAGCCTCTCTAGGTGCTGCGATTTCGGTCAGTCCTGTGCCGTTAGGCTTGCCTCGAGGCTATTATTTTCCATTGCTTTGCTGACAGCAGCCCCAAAGGATGCGAAGTGATACTTGTAGTTTTGACTTCAAGTCCCCAGCAGCAAGGGAAGTGATTTGTCTTTATTGGCCTTGTTCTTAAGAGAACATTCTGTTCAAGTCCTTTGTTTTAAAATTGTTCTCTGCCCTTACGGGCAGTTATAGTTCTGGATTCTAAGAGCTTCTTTCTCCCGTTGTTTTGTGGGTATTTTTGCAGTACTGCGGGTCTGAATGCAAGGCTTTTGCACTGTGCTCCATCTCCATTCCCATCATGTATTTATTTATTTATTTATTTTGATTTTGAGCTAGGATCTCCCTAAGTTGCCCAGCTGGGCTTGAACTTGAGGTTTTCTGCCTCAGGCCTCCATATAGCTAGCAATGACCTGTGAGCACACACCAGCGAGGCGACCCTCTGTAAGCTGATGAGAGAGGCCTCAGGAGAAGCTGGCCTCTTGGTTCCTTGGCCTCTAGTGTCCTGCCCACGGACTTAGGAGAAAATTGGTTCCTGCTGCTTTATGCACCCCATCAGTGTTATTTTAGTGTAGTCCACACAGAATACTGTATAATATTAGGTGGAATTTTTATAGTTGTAACAAGAATAACAGAGCTTCTATGTTAGAAAAATACATCATTTGTGAGTGAAATCTTACGAATTTGGGAATCTGGCCTATCATATTTAAAAGGTTAGGAGATGGTAGATAAAGAAAAACAAATTATTAGTAATCATTTAAGCTGTACTAAGGTATTAGGGATTCACTTTGTCTCATTTGTGTATGTTTAAATGTTTATAACACTTCTTTCAGTCAAGTCCACCTATGTGCGTGTGCACACCGTGTGCAGCATGCGGAAGTGCACTACACACAGATAGCTTCCCTGGGGATTCTGGCTCAGGCGCTCACACAGTGTGCGAAGGACTCTCAGGTCTGTAGTCTAGCCACTTTTGAATTCGGTGTCGCAAAGGCCTTCTAAATGTAGTGTTCAAGTGAACCTACCTCTTTGCTCAGATTGTCAGTTTTCTGTAGATAAGAATCTCAGCCCCAAATCCAGAAGACCTCACACTCCTACTCCTAATTATTTCTATTTCTAATGTCTGTCATTTCCGCAGCCCTCATTTTGGTTTCTTTAAGACGTCCTTTCAGGATGAGCATAGTTCCCTCCAACCTGTGCTTCCTGCTGCAGTGTCTGCTACTCTGTCTTACTCAGATTGTTGCGAGTTGTTGTTTTTTTCTTCATGTCGTTAAAATGCTGACAGGCCATAGCTCAATGGCACAGTGCCTGCCTGGCAAGCTCGAGGTTGTAAGTTTGGTTCCCAGTACAAAAAAGTGAAGAAATATATTTGCATAATAATGTAAATGTGCATAGCCCGAAAAAAGTGAATCTATCTTTAAAGCATGATTTGTTATAGCACAAATGTAGAAGGAGCCAAGTTTCTGTCAAAAAGGTGACTTAAATAAGCCATGGAAGGGTTACTACATAATGGAATGATCTGTAAAGAGAAGTGAGGACTGTCTCTAGCATATTGTCATGTGCAGGGAGAAGCGCCACATCCCTACTTAGCCCTTGTTGGTTTTAATGGGAAGGTTGACCACAACTTGGGCTTGTGGCTACTGGGTGGGTCATTCTAAGAATTTCAGTAGGCAGAGCTAGAAAGCAAATGTAAATAAAAGTAAAATATAGGTGTATGCTAACTGCTGTGGCTTGTATTTAGATGTCCCCCAAAGCCTCATGCCATCGTAAGTGGGGAGTCTTGAACGTGGATTAGATATGTGAATGTGGATTGGGGGTGTGATGCTGGGATCAATGGAATCCTCATCTGGCTGTGGGTCCCATCGGTCAGCAGGCTTCCAGCCTGGAAGGAATGTAAAGGGAGAGAGGGATGGCACGTCTGGTGCCTCTGTCCTGCCACACCATGAACTGTTTGTCCTCTCTGATGCCCTCTGCCACGCCACCCGGCCTTGGAGCCAGCCCACTGTGAACTGAGACCTCACAAACCGAGCTGAAATAAATCTTACCTCCTTTAAGTTCAGCTGTCAGGTATTTTGTCGCAGCAATGAGGGAAGTATCTAAGACACTATATTATATATCTTTAACTTACATGAACAATCCAATTCATTTCAATACTTTATAGTTTTATCACCTTGGTCTTGACATTTGTTTATATGAACTTTCTTCCACATTAAAAATATGGGTCTAAATCCCAGCATTGGAAGGCTGAGGCAGGAGGCTCACCGTGAGTTTGAGGCCAGCCTGGGCCACATAGTGAAACACCAACATTTGGACTATATGATGAGATCTAGCTTGAAAAAATCTTCCCACCAAAAGAATTCTTTCTGGTTATTTATATGAATTGTGTGATGCAGAGATACATTTGGTTTTGCTTTTGTTTTTAGGAAGCAAAATATATGTGTAATAATTACATGGTTACAGTTAAAATCTGTAGAACACAGAAAATTAGCTTCTACTCTACTTCTCATACTAGTTCTCCATCCTTTTATAAGAAAGTCCTTTATTCTAGTTTTTATTTTATTCTGTAATATTTATTATGTAACATAAGTTATAGATAAACATAAATATCTGTATTTCCTGTTGTTAATACTAACAAAAACAGTAAAGGGATGGAATAATGCTCCTGTTGTGGGGAACACACTGCGTTCCAATACATTCATTGAATTCAGGAGTTATAATTGTTGATGTTTGGCTGAGCTCAGTGGTAGGGCACTTGCCAGTATGTGTGAGAATTTTTAATTCTCTATAATTTCTCTCTCTCACCTTCTGTCTGTCTGTCTCTCTTTCTTTCTCTCTGTCTTTCTTTTCTTTTCTTTTCTTTCTTTCTTTGCAGTACTGGGGATCAAACTCAGGACATTGGGCTTGCCAGGCAGGTACTTATGCTGCTGAGCTATATCCTTGGCCCCTTTAATTCTCATCACTGCAAAAAAATAACTTATTCAAGTTGGTGAATGAGAAACACTTAAACTTTATTTTCATTTGTATGTTTGAAATTGAAACTTTTTGTAATAAATATATATTATTATTGCACTTCAGATACTTCCTTCCTCAGGGATAAATACTGTTAGCAATGTGTATGAATACAGTACTATGTAATACAACGAATACTGTGAAATTCCTATTGTTTACTCAAATTCTGTATCATTTGTAAATTTTTTGTTTTAATACTACTTTACACTCTTTAAAAAATTGAAAAAAATGTTTGTAGAACTTTCTATTGTCTTTGAATATACCAAACTTTGCATATTTATGCATATATGTATATCTTTGTGCTTTTCATGCAAATTAAAAGTTGGAAAAGAAGCATTCCCACTGTTCTATACTGTTTTCTTCCTTGACTGAATGCTGTAGTTTGGATCTTATTGGATAATTTTGGTTGTCAGTTTGACAGGACTGACAGACACCTAGAACACTGGTAAAACACACCTCTGGAAGTATCCATGAGAGTATTTCCCGGCACAGTTTTCTTGTGGGTCAGTGAACTGAGGGAAGAGACCAGCCTGACGTTGTGGGGCAGTTTCCAATAGCCTGAGTGCCTGAATGGCACAAAAACCAAGGGACACGCCCACATGCATACAACTTAGCTCTTCTTGTGTGGGTGCAAGTTTTTGTTGCTAGGATCACCCGAGGACAGAAGATTCAAGATTCTTTAGCCTTTGACCACATTTGTAACAGAGCTCTCCAGGAAGCTTTCAGGTCTTCAGCTTTGACCTGGGGTTGCATCATTGGTCCCTCTTGCTCTGAGGCTTACAGCTTTTTAAAAGTCTGGGAAGTTGCTCGTTTCCCCAGCTCTCTAGGCAGCAGATGGCCGTTGTGGGTCTAGCTATCCTGCCTCTTAGTGTGCACAATAACCTAACAAATCCTCTCTTATTCTATTGCTTCTGTTCCCATAGAGAACCCTGACAAAGGCTCACACACTCAAGGCTTGATCGCAGCCCACGGGATTATTGGGAGGTGGTAGACTTTTAAGATGTGGGTCCTACAAAATCCATCAAAAATAAAAGCAACCAAACTGCACTCAGGAAGAAATGGATAGACTGAGTAAAGCCTTACTAAGATGTTGAACTGGTAGTTTAAAATCCTTCTGCAAGAAAGGCGCTGAGTGTGTATGACTTGACAGGAATTCTGTCCACCTTTAATATTGACTGTACACC